AAGCCCCACAACTGACAAAAAAAAAAGTCCAAGACTATCTCTAAGTAACCAGCAAAAAGCCAGGCCAGAGGTATGGCTCATGGTAGAGCACCAGCCAGTAAGCAAGTCAAGCCAATGCAAGATCAAGTTCAAGCCTCAGTCCTGGGGGTTGGGAGGAAAGGAAAAAGAAAAAAAATTAGTGTATATTAATTGTACAAAAGGGTATAGTGTGGTATTTCCACACACAGACATCTCTAAACAATCTGTGTTTGTTTTTTCCTGGTCTGGGGGCTTGAATTCAGTCATGGCCTGTGCACTGTCCCTGAGCTTTTTTGCTCAAGGCTAACATTCGACCACTTGAGCCCCAGCTCCACTTCTAGCTTTTTGGTGGTTAACTGGAGATAAGGGTCTCATAGGTTTTCTGCATGGACTATCTCTGAACCATGATCCTCAAATCTCAGCTTTCTGAGTACCTAGTATTTATAGGCATGAGTCACTGGCACTCAGCTCCTTAAACAATTTTTAACAAGCCTATGAAGTACTTTGATCATATTTACCCTATCCTGCACCACCTCTTTCCCACTGGATCTCCTCACATTCCCCCCATTGTGTACTTACAGGAAAATAGGTGGAATTAAAAATAATCATAAATCATAAACTGAGAAAGACAAACATCACATCTTTACACAGAATCTAGTCTTAAAGTTAACAAGAAGTATGTGTCTGCCTCATCACATACTAAGAGAAGCACTTGTTTTGTCTTGGTGCTGGTATTAAGGCTTGAACTCAAGACATCAGGCTCTTGTGTGACTTTTTCCATTCAAGGCTGGCACTTTGCCACTTGAGCCACACTCCCACTTCCTAAAAAAATTTAAATAATGAAGAAAACATTACCAGTCTCAGAGCAGTAATATTATTTTCTCTATCAATAGACACCAGGAATATCGAATAACTTCTGTTACATGAGGACTTCAAAATTAACTGGTGTTAACAAAAAGAGATAGGGAGATAAAGATGGCTCATAAGCTAGTGTTTACCTAGCAAGCTCCAGACTCTGAGTTCTAGCCCCAGTAAACCTTGGGCTACCAAAAACAAACAAAAGCCCTACCATTCTGAAAGAATGGGAACAACTGTCCTAGAACTTGTTCCTTTCTACATATAATAATTTCATACATAATGTTTTACTTTCTGAAAAAAAATTACTGTAAGGGTAAGGAGACACTTTTTCCATGCTGCTACTTAACATTTAATAGGTAGTACGGCACAGGACACAGAAAAGACATAATTTTAAGTCCTGACTTCAACTAATCAGCTATCAAACCAAAAGTAAGATACTTCAACAAACTTCAGTTTTTTCACTTAGAAAACGTCATTAAGGGCTGGGAAAGTGGCTCAGTGGTAGAGCGCTTGCCTTGCATACATAAGGCCCTGGATTTGATTCCTCAGCACCACATAAATATGCAGGAAAAAAAAGCCGGAAGTGGCGCTGTGGCTCAAGTGGTAGAGCGCTAGCCTTGAGCTGAAGAGCTGAGGGACAGTGCCCAGGCCCAGAGTTCAGGCCCACGACTGAGAGAAAAAAAAAAACAAACTTCATTAAGATAAATGTAGTAGAATGCTGGGAGCAATTTATAGAGAAAGATTAAGTTCTAGTACATTTAAATGCCAAGCTAATGACCTAATTTCAAGAGCTATTGGAGTAGTTCAAGTAGTAGAATGTTTGCCTACCAAGTACAAGGCCCTGAGTTCAAACCTAATACTGGAAATAAATAAATAAATAAATAAATAAATAAATACTTGATTCTGCAGGAAATACAAAAATCATTTAGATGATTTTTTTTTTTTTTGCCAGTCCTAGGGCTTGAACTGAGGGCCTGAGCACTGTCCCTGGGCTTTTGCTCAAGACTGGCACTATATAAGCCACAGCACCACTTCTATCTTTTTTTGTTTATATGGTATTGAGGAATCAAACTCAGGGCTTCATGAATGGTAGGCAAGCACTCTACCACTAAGCCACATTCCCAGCCCTAGAGATTTTTTTTTAATGGGGATGACAGGAAGTTAGGAGTACGGTATGATTTGTGGTCCAGGGTGCAGTGGTAATGTTTAAGTAGTATTAATAAGGGTAGGGGATGCAGGCCAGGTAGAGGTTTTACCTGGAGTGTGCAAGGCCTTTGGTTAATTTCTAGCACCTTATGCCTTCATAAAAATCTAATGGAATCATGAAAGAAGGTATATAGTAAAAGAACTAGAAGCTACTGATAAAACCATAGGTTTCAGCATGATGGTAAGATGAAAAATGAATAGTTAATTTAAGCATTGCAAAAGCAGTTTGAAAATCAAATATGGAAGAAAAGAAAATGATTTAACATAAAGCAGAACAGTAACCCATGTTTTACTTTCCTTTCTTACTACTGGAAAAGGTTGAATTTATTTTTTGCCAGTCCTGGGGCTTAAACTCAGGGTCTGGGCACTGTTCCTGAGCTTCTTTTGCTCAAGGCTAGCACTCAACCACTTGAGCCACAGTGCCACTTCCAGTATTTTCTGTTTATGTGGTACTGAGGAATCGAACCCAGGGCTTCATGCATGCTAGGCAAGCACTCTATCACTAAGCCATATTCCCAGCCCTGGAAAGAGCTGAATTTAAATGAGTCAAATTTGAAATGTCTGGAGACAAGTAAGTGTGCCCAAAACATGGCTTGAGAGTAAACTTTATAAAGAAGAGAGATAAAAGCTAGGTAACAGTGGCTAATGCTTGTAAGCCTACTCAAGAGGCTGAGTTCTGAGGATCAATGTTCAAATTCAGCTTGGTCAGGAAAGCCCAAAAGAATCTTATCTCCAATTAACTAGCAAAAAGCCTGAAACAGAACTGTGGCTCAAGTAGTAGAGTGCCTGCCACCCTTTGGGAAAAAAACTACTAAGGGGAAGAAAATAAATAGGTGTGTGTGCATCAGTAGGTCTCTGAGTTAGCCTTTACAGATGGCTGAAGATTAGTAGAGCAAAGAATGAATAAGAACCTGTAAAACATCAAAATCAAAAGACCAGGCATCAGCAAAATCAGTGAAGGAAATGGAATTTCAAGTAAAATCAAAGAATTTATTAGAAATCCTATTACCAAAAGAAAAATTGAAGATGAGAAAATATTTAAGTTTGATATTTAATTCAGAGTAAGAGACCACTTTTTTTTTTTTCCCCAATCATGGGACTTGAACTCTGGACCTGAGTACTGTCCCTCACCTCTTCAGCTCAAGGTAAGCGCTCTAACATTTGAGCCACCATGCCAGTCCTGTTTTCTGGTGGTTAACTGGAGATAAGAGTCTTGCAGACTTTTTTGCCCAGGCTGGCTTTGAACCGTGATCCTCAGATCTCAGCCTCCTGAGTAGCTAGGATTACAGGCGTGAGTCACAAGGGCTAAACTTTTTTTAACCTTGGTTTTATGTTTTCAAAAATGCTGAAAAAAATCTAACTTCAAGAGTAAGCCTTCCTCAATTCCCCCATCTAGCTGAAAAGAGTCTGAGCTGGGTCACAATGTTGCTAACGAAAGGTACAAAAGGCCAAAGGTAACCAAAGGATGGATATCATAAGTCAACAGAGAAAAGATAGTTTTTTGGAGAGAAGGAAGACATTTGCTTTGGCTTTTGATTTTAGCCTACAGATGCTTCTTATATATAAGAATGACAGAATATTCCTTTACTTTCGATGTTTATTCAAATGGTAAAAGAGAGCCCCCACCCCAAAGTCTTAACAGTTTTCTACTTACATGAAATCTTTAGAATCCAAAGCATAAGTATCTATTTAATACTATGCCTTAAAATGATTTCCCTTCTAAGTACAATGACTTCTTCTATATGGACAAGAAAAGATCAAGTTATGTTTGGGATATCGTGCTTAAAGCAGCAACAAAGACTTTCCTCAACACAATAAACTTTAGCACATGACAAGCCTAATTTCAGGCATTTGATTCACTTTCTAGAATATTTCATTAATTCGCAGTATTACAGGAGGCTGGTATTGAATCTCACCATTTAGCCAATGAATCTCAAAATCCTCAAATTTAAAAAACAGGTTACTTTGTTATAATAATTCTCTGAAGAGTAAGTTACTCTAGAGTAACTCATTTATCCATCCACAAAGCCAGAAACCTGGAAGTCATCCTAGAGTCTCCCTTTTCCTAACTTCCAATCAATCATTTACTAGAGTTAAGTAATTCTCAAAACTGTTCCTCTACCACCATTATACTTTGAGTATTAAGCCATTAAACTATGATCTAAAGTATAACAATGAAATTTAGGACTGCTATCTATGTCTTTAACATCTGCTCATAACTCTGTCCTTGTATACTCTAAGGCTACAAAAACATCGTGTCAGTGGAAATCAAACATGCATTCCTTCCTATGAACCTGCACTTCTCTACCACTCTTTTAATCACCTGATCAAGAAAAAAAAATGATGGTCATCATTTGAAAATGTTCATTTCTCCAATAACTCAAGAGTTCTGGTTAGATTTTTTTTGTTCTGCTAAAACCCCTAATAAGAAACAATCTCCAGTTCTTGGAAGCACAAAAGCAGGATAGTCCAAGACTCAAAGTAAAATGTTCCTAAGATCTTGATTACAAATAAGATATGAGAGATTATTTACAGTAAGAAAAATAAGGTAGTACTGAATAAAAAATCTGGAAAACATCAAAATCAAAAGAGCAGATATCAGCAAAATCAGTGAAGGAAATGGAATTTGAAGTAAAATGACAGAATTTATTTGAAATCCTACAACAAAATTCTATAATGAATGAACAAATCCACCCAGGTTTATAATGAGTTTCTTTTATACATCTCTAGTTAGTGAAAAACCCCTCATTTGACTGGGATAGCTCATCAGTAGAGTGCTTGCTTAGCATAAAGCCCTGGTTTACATCTCCAGCACTGAAAGGAAAAAAAAAAACAAAAACAGGACAAGAAAAACCACGAATTCAGCATTTAGCTGTAATAATAATAATGCAGTGAAAATTTTAAAGCAAGGTAATTACCTGAGGAGAGTCAAAAGGATATCGACTACTAAACTTAAAAAGAAGTTGAAATTTTTCCCCTTCATATAAGGTACCTGGTGCACCTTCCATGTCTACGATCCACCTGTAAGGCGAAAAAAAACAAAAACAAATTAAAACGTGAAATAACTATGAGGAGGAGGAAAGAAAGACTAAGATGCCAGCTACTCATCCTTCACCCAACTCTCAGGAAGACTTTTTTTTTTTGGTCAGTCATGGGGCTTGAACGCTGGGCCTGGGCACTGTCCCTGAGCTCTTCAGCTCAAGGCTAGTACTCTACCACTTGAGCCACATTGCTACTTCTGGTTTTCTGATGGTTAACTGGAGTCTCACAGACTTTCCTTGCCCGGGCTGGCTTTAAACCCCAACCCTTAGACCTCAGCCTCCTCAGTAGCTAGGATTACAAGCGTGAGCCATTGACACCCAGCTCCCTCTCATTTTCTGTAAAAGGAACGGGGTAGAGGCTAGACAGCAAAGATAACAGAGCAGTATTTAGAAGCAAAGGTAAATATCAATCATTAAGAATGAGTTCCAGGGTCTGGGAATTGGCTCAGTGGTAGAGTGCTTGCCTAGTATGCATGAAACCCTGGGTTCAATTCCTTAGTACCACATAAAAAAAGCCAGAAGTGGCACTGTGGCTCATGTGGTAGAGTGCTAGTCTTGAGCAAAAAACAAAAACAGAAAACCACCACCACCACCAACAACAACAACAAAGTACAAGGACAGTGCCCAGACCTGAGTTCAAGCCCCAGGACTGGCAAAAAAGAAAAAAAGAAAAAAAAAAAATGAGTTCTGGGTTCAGGGCTCACACCTGTAATCCTGGGTCCACAGGAGATTTAGGAGGGAGGACTGAAGTCCAAGGCCAGTCCAGCCAGGAAAAAACAAGAGAATCTATTTGAAAAATAAGAGCTCAAGCGATAGCCAGCTTGCCTAGCAATCACAAAGCCTACAATTCAAACTACAATGCTACTATAAACTAAAAAAAAAGAATTCCAAATCACATCTATCATATCTAATTATTGTAGTTGACTAATTCCTTTAATCTTATTCTTTTCGGGTATGAAATTTTATTCAGGTTTATTTTAATTTTGTCTGAAACTGGGATTTGAACTCTTTAATCTGACACTTGCTTTCACTCATCAGCTGTGTTTTACCACCTGAGCCATGCCTCCAATCAAAACTTTTATTTTAAATATTGGAAAACTGGAGCTGGTGATGCATACTTCAGTGACAGCGTACTCCCCTACTACATTTGTGGCCCTAGGTTCAATCCCCAGTACTGCCAAAAAATACAGAATAAGTTAAAATACATAAATAAATACAGAGAAACAAAAAGATGTAAGTTAAAGACACTATTTTCGGGTTCTAGTCATTATTCCACATAGTATGGAATTATAAGTACATAAATAAACAAATAGACTTATTGTCTGAAATCAGCTAAAGCACACAAATGCTAAGTTCTACTATTGTAAACTAAGGGTATTGGAAGACATATGATACCACATATACTAAAAATCTAGCACACTCAACACTGGAAGGAGCATAGAGAAAAACCAATACAATGTTTTTTGTTTTTTTTTTGTCAGATGTGGGGCTTGAACTCCGGGCCTGGGCACTGTCCCTAAGCTCTTCAGCTCAAGGCAAGCACTCTACCACTTGAGCTACAGCGCCACTTCCGGTTGTCTGGTGGTTTATTGGAGATAAGAGTTTCATGGACTTTCCTGCCCAGGCTGGCTTTGAACTGCAATCCTCCGTCAGCCACCAGAGCCTGGCCAATGCAATGTTTTTAAAAGCTACATTAAAATGAAAAAATTACTAGAGATTTTAGATCAGTGTAGAGCTCCTGTCTAACATGATGGAGCAGCCCAGGCTTCCAATCCCAGCACCACAAACATAAGAACAAACCAACAAGCACACACACACTCTTCCTTCCCTTCTATACTCCTACCTCCCTTAGAACTGGGTGCTTCAAAGTCCTTTCTTATCTCTGCCCCTGGCTCCACAGACCCAGTTATCCACTTTCCTGACTGTTATGAGAGGGTTTTCTTGATACTCTTTGACTTTGTTTATATGTCATTTTTTAGGACATACAACATACAACATTTAATTGTGACCTATATATGGGCAGCTTTTAAGTAACATAAGCAAATACCCCATTTAAGTAAATATCCCATTCATCTCTGTAAAGTAGGTTCAAGACACAATTTTCAACATTGTACATGGTAATTTTTCATAACCTTTGCTAATTAAAAACGTAATATACACTCATAGAAAATTTAGAAGAAGGGCTGGGAAGGTGGCTCAGTGGTAGAGTGCTTGCCTTGCATGCATAAGGCCCTGAGTTCAATTCCTCAGCACCACACAAGTAGAAAAAGCCGGAATGGCAGGCTCAAGTGGTAGAGCTCTAGCCTTGAGCTGAAGAGCTGAGGGACAGCACCCAGGCCCAGAGTTCAGGCCCCATGGCCAGAAAAAAAAAAAAAAATCACCCAGAGATAACCATTTCTGGGATCTATTTTGTGGAGTGGTGGTTTCATTTAATCATTTTGCAGTTTCCCACATCATCATAGCTGGAAGAAATGAAAACATTATGTGAACTTTGAAACTGTATTAATTTAGACCACTATGGGGTTGATGGCATGGTTCAGTTAGTAGAGAGACAGCCAATAAGCAAAAGGGTCAGGTACTGAGTTTAAGTCCTGATCTCAGACCAAAAAAAAAAAAAAAGGAGACCACCAGCATTTGATTCTGATAATCAGTGTATAGCCTAAAGATGCAATGGGAAAAGGGAATGTGTCAATTCCTATATTCCCGGACTTTTTACTATAATACTAAGAGTTGACTTATTGCATATGTGGGTGGGATATACATACGTTTTTTAGCAATGGGGTTGAAATTGATGGGCCTGCTAGTCAAGTGTTCTACCAATTAAATCAAGCCCTAGCCCTTTTTTCCTTTATTCTTTAGCTAGGGTGGCACATTTATTGATTGCTCTGGGCCAGCCTGGACCATAATTCTACCTATTCCTCTCCAAAAGCTGGGATTACAGACATGAATCACCACAACTGACTTATTGATAGAGAAGGGTCTCACAAACTTTTTGCCAGACTGACCTCAAACCACAATTCTCTCAAGGACCACTACCCAAGTAGCTGAAATTACAAGCTTATGCCCACCATGTCTGACTAACATTTTAAATTTGGTATTTTTTCCCCCACAAACCCTGACTCCTAATTACATAGAAACAGTAATTTCACTTTACAGGAAAAACTGGCTTGAAATCATATTATCTCCTCTTTTCTTTCTTCTTTCCTTTCTTCATCCTTATACCTCCCTCCTTTCTTTTTCTTTTCTCTTCTGAAATAAGAGTATGACTATGCTGCTAGGGCTTGTTTTGAATGTCTGGGATCATTCTATGCCTCAACTTCCTGGGACAACAGGTGTGAACCACTGCACTCATCCATTAAGCTTTTCTAATGATTTTTTTTCTTACATAATGACTGCATACAACTCAACTGATGCCATTTCACTACAGTACCTTGACAAACTCCTTCTCTATTATTGTTTGCACTGTTTTCAAATTACTTCTAAAATTGGAAAGTGAAGGCATGGCTCAAAAGTGAGACCCTACCAAGACTGAAGCCAGTTCACTCCCCAGTACCACTAAAAAAATAAATTAATTAACCAGCATTGTACACCAAGCACAGATAGACCATGCACGCCTAGCTTTTCAGGAGATTGAGAAAAACCTTGGAAATGAAGGTTCAAAGTCAGCATGGGCAGAAACATCTAAACAACACCATCTCGACAAAATGAGCCAGGAGGCAGAGATCTGAGGATAGTGCTTCAAAGCCAGCCTGAGCAGGAAAATCTGTGAGACTCTTATCTCCAATTACCCCCAGAAAAACCAGAAGTGGAGCTGTGGCTCAAAGTGGTAAAGCACTAGCTTTGAGCAAATCTCAAGGATAATGGCCAGGCTCTGAGTTCAAGCCCCACAACCAACAACCACAACCACAAGAACAAAACAGCAAAAAGCAGGGAAAGTATGTCTCAAGTAATAGAGCACCAGCCAAATAAGCAAATAGGGCACAGTGAAAGCCATGAATTCAAATCTCTGTACAGGAAAAATAAAATTTATATATGCAATCAATTTTGTTTTACATCAATGTATAATACTGTACACATTTTGCCTAATTTATAAAATGAATCTTTTATTCGCATTCAATTTTACGTGCCTCCCTCTGACCCCCCTCCCCCGCCCCTCCAGTCCCGGGGCTTGAATTCAAGGTCTGAGCACTGTCCCTGAGCTTCTTTTGCTCAAGGCTAGCACTCTATTATGAGCCACAGCACCACTTCTGTTTATGTAGTACTGAGGAACTGAACCCAGGGCTTCATGCATGCTAGGCAAGTACTCTACCACTAAGCCACATACATTCCCAGCCCTGCAATCTTCGCTACTGTTGTAGGAACAACCTGTTTCTTCTATTCATATGTAAGATCACCTCAGTGTGAGTGGAAGCTATGTGTGGGTTTTCTGACCATGAGTTGTCTGTCTGTTAAGTGCTGTGGTACACCTTGTGTATATTCAAGAAGGCTTTGTGCTTGCTCTCTCAGCTAGTTCTCTACCATTTGAGCCATGCCTACAGCCCAGCTTTCCACTGTTGTTTTTTTTTTCATTTTAAAAACTATTTTTAGGGGCTAGGAAGGTGGCTCAGTGGTACAGTGCTTGCCTTGCATACACGAGGCCTTAGGTTGGATTCCTCAGCACCACATAAGCAGAAAAAGCCAGAAGTGGCACTGTGGCTCAAGTGGTAGAGTACCAGCCTTGAGCTGAAGAGCTTAGGAAGCACCCAAGCCCAGAGTTCAGGCCCCATGACCGACCCCCCCCAAAAGTCCTTATCTTCAATAAAAGAGCACTGTTCACTGGATGGTAACAGAAGCTCTTTATGACCTGTTTCCAGAAGGGTCCGCTTATTAATCCTTACTTGTGCAAAGTATCATGGAAAATTGGGTCTGCCCTTGTATTATTTACCATTAGAAAATTTTTTTATCTTTTTTTTTCTTGCCTATGTTTTTCCAAACAGAATTGAAAAGTTAACAAGAGACTCTGTAACTGTAACGTGAGCTACTGGCTGCCCTGCCGGCCCCCTCCACATTTCCACATTTTCCACCGGGGCTGGCTCCCCAACCCACCAGGTGCTGCTAAGTTCGGGCTTCCTGGGGCAGCCATTTTGGCTGTTAGTATGGCATCTGCTCTGCTGGTTATTTTGAAGCTGGTGTCTCTTGGACTTTTCTGCCTGGGCCAACTTCAAATAGACTCTGGATCTCAGCCTCATGAGTGGCTAGGATTACAGGCATAAACCATGGGTGCCTGGCTTAATTATGTAATCTCAGAGAATATTATTAATTATATTAATACACTTTACTGTATTTTCCTATTGGTACAAGAGGAATATGACAAAATATGAAAAAACTTTACAAAAAGTGAATATATGTTCATACATTACCAGCAATAGAAGCAAGACATTATAAAAACTACTAGCTGGCACCAGTGGCTCATGCCTGTGATCCTAGCTACTCAGGAGGCTGAGATTTGAAGAATGTAGCTGGAAGCCATCCCAGGCAGGAAAATCTGTAAAATTCTTATCTTCAATTAACCACCAAAAAAGCCAGAAGTGGTAGAGTTCTAACCTTGAAAAAAAAGCTCAGAAACAGTTTCTAGGCCAGGTGTTCAAGTCCCAAGACTGGCGCAAAAAGAAAAACACACAAAAAAAATAAATACTTACTGTGTAATTGAATTCTGAACACTCTTTTCATTTAAGGTCATTCCAGGAGGTGGGTCATTTTGCAAAGCCAACAGCTCTTTCTGTAGTCGTTTCTGAAAGCAATAATAGTAATTTGTACTTTCATCTTTAATGTCTTTCTAGATACAGTCTGTAACTACTGAATAAATTCCCTCTAAATGCTCATATCTTTACAAGCCCCCTGGATCTTATATTTTATATGCCCAATTCTCAAAATTTGAATTGTCTACTCTAAAATTCACAATCTAATATCATAATGGAGGACAGTTGTGGATAAAACTTTAAGACATCCTAGCCACTCTACTGAGGTTTTAAAGTTTCTAGATTAAAGACAGTTTTTTTTTTTGGTCAGTCATGGGGCTTGAACTGTGGGCCTGGGCACTGGCCCCTGAGCTCTTCAGCTCAAGGCAAGCGCTCTACCACTTGAGCTACAGAACCACTTCCAATTTTTTGAGTGGTTTTATTAGAGATAAGAGTCTCACTGACTTTCCTGCCTGGGCTGGCTTTGAACCATGATCCTCAAATCTCAGCTTCCTGAGTAGTAGGATTACAGGCATGAGCCACTGGAGTCCAGAAGATTTTGCTGCTTTCTAGTTTTGAAAATTATACTTTCCATAATCACTAAAGAACTTGTATATAATTTTGGATAGACAAGCTTTCCTTAGATTTTTAATTTTTTGGGGTCCAGTCATAGGCCGGAACTCTGAGTCTGGGCGCTGCCCCTCAGCTCTTCAGCTCAAGGCTAGCGCTCTACCACTTGAGCCACAGCGCCACTTCTGGCTTTTTTTTTTTTTGCTTATGGGTGCTGAGGAATCGAACCTAGGGCCTCAAGCATGCAAGGTAAGCGCTTTACCACTGGCCACCTTCCTAGCCCCTCCTTAGATTTAAAAAAATAAATAAAAACCCAAAACGTTAACTATTAGACCAAGGACAGATAAGGCTATTGGCTCTAAAATGGCTTTGTATTTTACATTTCTCTTTGTGAGTATGTGGATCTTGGTATTAGGGCTTGAACTCTGGGCCTCACACTCTTGCTTGGCGTTTTTGGTCAAGGCTAGTACTCAAATCACTAGAATCACAATTCTACTTCTGGCTTTTTGGTGGTTAATTGGAGATTATTGTCTCAAGGGCTTTTCTGCTCCGACTAGCTTTGAACTGTCATCATCACAGGCATGAGCCTTTGTTAACATCCATGGGAATTTCTTTTTTGGTTTATCCCTCCCTCATTTTCTCCTGCTTTCCTTTCCCCACTCCCCTCTCCTCCCAAGATTACCTTATAATTCTTGTCATAAGAGAACACAAATGCCTTTCCACAACTCAAGAATACTTAAGTCTGTTTTGAATATGAAGCACTATTATTAACAGCAATGTTTCTATATCTTTTCAATTCACAACATCTTTAAATAAACTTAGTCATTCTAATGTCACTACACACTAGAACCTTCTATTTTGTTTCAAATTACTGTAATACTTTTTTTTCCCACTTTTTTAAAGTTGTTATTATAATAAGTGACCATAGAGGGATTACATTTACCTAAGTCAGGTAAAGAGTACATTTCTTTTTGGATAATTTTACTCCTTCCCTTGCTCTCCCAGTTTTTTCCTCCCATCCCCACCGACAAGTTGTGTAGTTCAACATAGTGTCTAGTGAGTAACTCTGCCTTGTAATTGACATTAAGTTGCCTGAGAAACTTTTTATCTGACCTTGCAATAATCCATTACCTTCAACTTGTGATCTCAGCAGTCCTCCAAAATGTAAATATTTACAAGTTAAATGTCATTTAAAAGAAATTTAGCTATATAAAATAGAAATTTGCTTACATGATTTTGACTAAATGAGGAATATATCTGTAAAATAACGTTAGATTTTTTTTTCATTATCTTTAAACAGTTGTACAAAGCACCTGACATTTAACAAAGCAGTTTGTGTCATTTCAACATTCTCATCTCCAACAGTTTTTTCTTTTTATTTTCAACAAGATTTTTCATGTGTGTGTCGGTCTTGGGACTTGAACGCAGGGCCTGGATGCTGTCCTTGTGCTTTTTTTGCTCAGGGCTAATACTCTACCACTTGAGCCACAGTTCCACTTCTGGTTTTTTTTGTTTTTTTTTAAGTTAATTGGAGGCAAGAGTCTCATGGACTTTCCTGCCTGGGCTGGCTTCAAACCACAAACCTTAGATCTCAGCCTTTTGAGAAGCTAGGATTACAGGCATGAACTATCAGTGCACGGCTAAGAACAAGATTTTTTTTTTTTGGGGGGGGGGGGGGGTCCGGTCGTGGGGCCTGAACTCTGGGCCTGGGCACTATCCCTCAGCTCTTCAGCTCAAGGCTAGCGCTCTACCACTTGAACCACAGAACCACTTCCGGCTTTTTTCTTTTTGCTTATGTGGTGCTGAGGAATTTAACCCAGTGCCTCAGGCATGCAAGACAAGCACTCTACCACTGAGCCACCTTCCCAGGCCCTAAGAACAAGATTTTTAACTGAGTGGAGTGAAATAGAATCTCAGTTTTGTTTTGATTTGCCTCCTCCTTTATGACTAAAGTGTCAACAACTCCTTCATGTGTTGGAGCTGGCCACTAGTGTAACTTCTGAGAACTGGTTGGACAAGTCATAGCCTGCCTAACAAACTCAAGACCACTAAGTTTTAAATCTAATATTTTCAGAGACAGAAAAAAGAAAAAGGTATTTAAAGAAGAACACTCTCACTAGTTGGATTATTCTTCTGATGTTTAATTTTTCAATCTTTTTATATATTCAGGATATTAATCCTTTCTCTAAACAAAAGATTTGTTTTTTAAATTTTATTGCCAAGCTGATGTACAGAGGGGTTATAGTTAGTGAAATTATCGGTTATGGGGCTTGAACTCAGGGCCTGAGTGCTGTCCGAGCCTGTGTTCAAGGATAGTGTTCTACCACTTGAGCCACTTCCATTTTTTGAGTGGTTAATTAGAGGTAAGTCTCACAGGGACTTTTCTGCCTGGGCTGGATTTGAACCACAATCCTCAGATCTCAGCCACCTGAGTAGCTGGGATTCCAGGCATTAGCCACTGGGCCTGGATAGATTTTCTTGCATTTAGTAGGTCGTCTCTTGATTCTAGTGTGTCTTTTGCTATATAGTAGCTTTTGGATAACAATCCCATTTGCCAGTTCTTGCTCTTATTTCCTCAGCAATTGGTATTTCTATTTCGAAAGTTGTTGCTCATGCCTAAAACCACTTCAGGTATGTTTTTTCTCTAGTAGTTTCAAGTCTTAAATCAAGATCTTTAATCCATTTTTCTGTAAGGTGAGGGATTTAGTTTCAGTCTAAATTCTAACAGAATTTGTCTTTTCTCCAATGTACAGTTGAAAATCTGTAGGTTTATTTCTGGATCTACTACTGTATTCCATTGGCACGAATCTTTTTTTTTTTTTTTTTTGCTTTTTGCTTATGTGGTGCTGAGGAATCAAATCCAGGGCCTCAGGCATGCAAGGCAAGCGCTCTACCACTGAGCCACCTTCCCAGCCCCGGCCTGAGTCTGTTTTATGCCAGTACCTCGCTCTTTGTTACTATGGTTCTGTGATACAGTTTGAGGTCAGGTATTGTGGTAACTACAGCACTGCTCTCATTATTCAGGACTGACAATGATTTGGAGTCTTATGATTTCATAACAATTTTAGGACTGATTTTTCTATTTCTGTGAAGAATGATGTTGGAATTTTGATCATATTGAATATGTAGATCCATTTGATCATACTGAATCTGTAGAATAGTTAGCACAGCCAATCAATTTCCAGGAAAATCTTGCCCACCCACAAAGGTGGGACGGTTTACTGTCCTCTAGTGTTGTCTTCAGTATTTTAGTTTTCATTGTAGAGGTTTCATTTCCTGATTTTATTGCTAGTTTTGCTTTCTAAGGCTAGTTTGGGATTTTCTCTTTTTTTTTTTTCTCGGTCTGATCATTATTAGCATATAGAAGTTGACTTTTGTTTGATTCTGCATCTTACTACTGAATTTGTGTGTGGATGTGTGTGCAGTGTCTTTAAGTACAGAATCATAACATCTGTAAACAGAGATAATTTGACTTTCTTTTCTAGTTGTTTTCCATCTTTTTCTTTCCTTTGCCTTATTGTCTGTCTAGGAATTAATGCACTATGTAGAATAAGAGTGGGAAAGACACTGTATTCTCATTAGTTCTGTACCATATTCCTCAACTCAAAATGTCAGTGCCTGTTCAAACATAAAACGCATAATGTTAAACCAAATTTAAATATGTCAAACACAGCTCTAGCATAATCAAGAAAGGAGATATAAAGGGTAAATACAAAAACTGAATTTTTTCCTAAGGTCTAGCATAGATCTCCAACATTCTGCTTTTTGGACTTAAACTATTAATAGTAATTAATGTTGCGAAAGTTATTAGAATCATAACATCTATAAACCAAAAAGAGTGACATTCATAAATTTATTTGACCCTTTAGTTAGTAACCGTGACAGCTTGATATCCTTGTTTGTTCTAACTACCATTTATTATCAGAAATCTGTCACGTCACTGACATTCTTTTTTTTCTCCTCTATCCACTGTGTCCCTGGTTATTATTTTGGTGTAATAATCCCAACTCATTTTCAGTGCTGGCATTAATAATGGCTGACCTTTACTGCTTTATTTATTTTCCCAATGATGGGGCTTGAACTTAGGGTCCAAGCACTGTCGCTGAGCTGCATATGCTCAAGGCTAGCACTCTACCACTTGAGCCACAGTACCACTTCTGGCTTTTTCTGTTTATGTAAAACTGAGGAATTTAACACAGGGCTTCATGCACGCTAGGCAAGCACTCTACCACTAAGCCATATTCCCAGCTCCCATTTACTGCTTTATGTTCATCTAACTGTTCTATACTGCCTTACTAAAAGCAACAGGTGACATTAGAAATGCACATGAGTGGTCCACAGACCACACTTTCTACAGCAGTGTTAAAGCATACTTTACACCAATAATTCAGTCTTTGCCTCTTCGGCTATTGATTATTTTTTCCAACACCTATGTTTAGATATAAATTGGAGATTTTTGCTGTTTTAGATGGTTGACGATGAT